ACACAACGACGATTACACTGCGGACCGGGCAATGCAAGTGACTGTAGCTTATAATCACTTTAAACAGGGTTTAGTCGAAAGAATGCCGAGGTCAGCCTCATGCTTTTGCTTTCTTTGCGCACGGGTTTGGCTTTTCTAAACTGGATTTCGTTTTCTTCTTTTGCTTTGGTAGATGCCGACACGACACGGATACTTCCACGTCGTCAACCATGACTACACAAATGCTAATATCATAAAGCTACAACTAAATGAATGGAAGATACACATCATTGGAGGCAGCCCAAATCCCACAATTAACGCCGAAGGCAATACATTCTTTGCAAAAACTCGAAAGAGGTAAAGCTTTTTTGAACTTTTTCTTTGTATAGGCTACAAAACTGATGTTTGATCATAAAGCGAGAGTACACTGAGAAATCAATCTGGAAGAGCTGGCACGGGAGATCCGAGAAGAACTTGTTCCTGAATGGAGCGTACTTCATCACGTCTGGAGAGCTGGATCGGTCTATGGCAAAACCTCGAGCCTCGCTGCCAAGCCCACGGCCTACATTGGTGAGTTAACTCTCTCGACAGGAGCAATTCCCTGCGGAGTAGGATTTCCATGCTGACTTGAGGATGATCATCGCCACGTCATCAGCAGCTGTACAACATTACTCCTATAGCTTGTCGATCGGTCTCGCCCTCTTAATTATCCATGCGGACTATGATGTTTTTAAGGTTTCTGGATGGAATAAGTGAGTGTGTTCCATCGCTAGAAGGATGGTTAGATGATGGAGAGAGATTGGAGCTCCATCTCCATCTTCATAGAAGAAAGAAGAAGGAAAGTTTGGCAACCTCGGCCAGGAACGGAAGAGTTCTCTGGCCTTGTTCTTTGTTTCGTGCTTGCCACAGATTCGAGCGGCGCTCCTTCTGGATCATGACGCCCTGGTTGTCGAATTGGGGGCGATCTTCCACCGCACGACAACAGTGCCGATCCAGGCGGTGTGAGCGCGCAAGGTCTTGCACGCCAGCGATCAAACCCTACATTTCTGTTCAAACAATTAGGGCTTTGGCGCCAAACTCGATATAAAAAGTATTATAATAAAAAAAACGTTTTCTCTTTACGAACGTGCGCGGGATTCATCGTACATACAAAGACGGCTTCCACGCGGCAATTTCTACGGGAAACTTTCCGCGTAAAACGAGTGGAAAGCATTCCATCCGACTGCTGCTCGGATATAAATTCATGACGTCTCCCCAGTCAGCAGCAGGGCCCTCTTCATTCCGTATCTAGTGTCTCAAGCTTGTCAAAGCTGCGAATTTCACAACTGTGATCTGCAAATTCGTAGACAATCAAGATGGCTTGGAAGGTGAGCATTGCGTCTCTGATTTCGTTGAGCCTTGTTTGATCTCGAGCCCTGTGCTGCAGGTTGTCTTGAAAGTGGACTCTTGCAACAAATGCAAGGACAGGATGATGTCTCAGATCTATCACGGCGTCTCCGGTGAGTGTGGATTTCCGCAAATTCTCCCAAATTTTGATCGCTGATCAAGAGATCTTCTCTTGCAGGTGTGAAGAAAGTGGAGGTTAACGATCCCCTTTACACCTTCACGGGTGATTTCAAGGTGGACGACATCCTCAAGGCCACCGAGAAGAAACGCAAGTGTATTTCTGTGGAATCCGTCCAGGAGATCAAGGTGGAAAAGCCCAAGCCAAAGGACGATTGCTGCTGCTGCCGCTGCTCTTGCTGCTGCTGCTAGAATTCGTGACTGATTACTGATCATAAAGAGGTTTTGTTGTGGATGAGATGATCAATCTCTCCTCTCATGTAAGTTCTAATCAAATCGAACGAGGGGTTTCGGTTTCTTTCACCAAGTTTTTGTTGCAATAGGATTGAGATTGTCAATCTAACATCCAGAGCACGCGAGTGCTACGTTGAAATGGTCCTTCCCATCTTTGCGGGAGCGGAAATGTTTAAATTTCAAGGATGTTGACACACAAAGCCTGCATGAAGGAATCAGTGGGAGAATCATAGAAGCTTCAAAAAAGTAATGCGTGCTGTACGTAGCTTGCTAACCTGTGTGAACGTGCTTGACTATTCAATGGTCAAGTCAAATCCTCGTTCAAAACATTGACTTGGTCTACAGGTTTATGGTTTGTTCAGATTTGGATATAATTCAAATTACTTATATTAATCTATGATTAATATAGAACCACCAGTCCATCTTCCGCTCCAAGTATGTACGGCTTTGCCCTCTCCGCTCTCCGTCTATCTAGTGTCTCAGCTGCTATCAAAGCTGTGATTTCCCAAGACAATTAAGGTGGAGGCAGCAGATCGTCGAACAGGAGCTGGGCAATATAATCCACATACCTTTCATCTGCACTCCTGGAGAGAGAGCACCACGTGTATGATGGATCCGCATACATCCAGTTTTTGCTCAACTGCGAGGACAAGGATCCCTCATCCCACTCTTCTTTCCACTGTTGGGCTGTCACCCTGCAAACAGCTGTTCCATCTCAATGCCCTGGCCTAAGTTTTATGGCAACTAGATTCATCCCACTTTTGTCTAGATGAGCTGCTAGGCTCATTCGTCAGACCAGCAATTGGGTGTTCCTCAAGTTGGTGCTAGATGACCAGTTATCTTTGGTTTAGTTAACCATGTAGTTTCTCCAAGGAATAAATGTTACATAGTAAAAAGGTTTAACATTATAAACATTCAATTATGTTGCAGATCACGGCCTCGTCCGGCCGCCAGCCCTAGCACATTAAATCCCCGCTATAGAATAATAATATTTTGTGAATATTCTCAAACTCTCCCATTTATAACAGTTTGCGTAATCAGCAACACAAAATAAATTGCTGTACATTGTGTTGCAGCAATGCTTGTTTTGTTTTTTTTTTTTTAAATATTTTTTACTATATAATTTGTTTTGATCTGTCCAGTATGCTGGTACTACTTCATTATATCTTTTATCCACATATGATCTATTAGTTTCTTATAATGTGTATTGTCTTTTATTATTTATATATATCTCCATTGGTTTTGCTTCTTCATTTTGATAGTCAATATTGAAATTTCCTGTAATTATTTTATATATATATACATATGTAGTTATTTTATAAATATTTATATAATTGTTCCAGGTTTTCTATGTAAATTTAGTATTTGTATTTATTTATTATTTTTCACTAGTGATATATATGACATTGCCATTTTTTCTGTTTTTAAATGTTTTACTTTTTCTGATTTATAGTCATTTGTATGAAATATTGCTATATGGGTTTTCATATATATATATATATATATATATATATAAACATTATATTTAATGTTAATAATTTTGAAACACTCTTTATATCTTCTTGATATGCTGTAACAGATGTTATATTTAAAACTTGTATTAGTTCGGTTAGATTTTTTCTCTTTTTGTAAATCTATTAAATTAATTTGCCATGGTGCTTCTGTTGTCATTCTTATTATGTCTTTAGCTGCATCTTTATTACCTCTAATGTTTGTGCTCTTGATAATGTTATATATGCTTGTCTTTGATATTTTGTTTTATACAGGTCATATTCTAATTGTTTTACTGTTGATCCTTAAGCTCTGTGTATTATTCTTCCTACATATGGTGGGTTCTGTTTAAAACATAATTTTGGATTTTAGCAATATTTATTATTCTTGTTACTTTTCTTATTGGTATCTTGTTTTTTAAAATTATTTTTATTTACTCTTTAGCTTTTGTTTTTTCACCTGTTTCTATATTTGGGGATTCTATCTATTATGTTTTCTTCTTTGATATGGGTTACATTTTATAATACTCCATCTGCTCCATTTACTAGTCCATTTTCCGTTGCTATTTTTTGTGTTATTTCAATTGCTATTTTCTTTTTTAAATGTAATATTTTATATACTATTTGTATTTTTCTTGTGTTATTTGGTAAGCTGAAATTTGTAGGACAGGAATTTCCATATTCATGTTGTACCTTGTGTATACTATATTATTTTTTCGTTGTGTTCGTTTATTTGTTCATTTAGAATAATATATTGAGTTATATGTATTTTTTATTTATATATTATAGCTTTATATCTGTTTTGTCTCATTTATATTTTATTTATAAATCATTTTGCCTTCCAAAACTTTATGTAGGTGATGAACGTGGAGAGCGTGCATGCATTTGTGTCGACACTCACGTCCACCGGATTACAAACCGACTGGAATGCGTATCATATCCAAAATCAACATCCAAAAAAACGCTTCGTACGTTGTTTCTTCCAGCAAAGTTCTCTCTATACTGTGATCCATACTTGTTTGCTTTGAAAGGACACGAAAACTCCAGAGGAGACGTGGATCTCGCTAGAGTCGTGGTTGCCGGGGGAAGAATGGGTTCCGATCAATCCATTTTGTTCCATGTTTTTTTCATGCATGGATTTGGTCAGACCATTTGCAATCCGCTTGGCCTTGCTGTGGCGACTGCTTCATTACTAACTTGTGTCAAGCAGCGTTTAGGCATGTCAAGGGAAGCAAGAGCTAAGAAGTTCTTCAGGATACTATCAAGCAAAACTTCCAGAGGTACAACTTCTTTCTTTGTTTCATAAATGGAGAGAACGCTTCCGTGCCAGGGCTAGAGAACTCTTTCCAGTGTTCATCCATTCCCGGCGGAGGTTGCCAGACTTTCCTTCTTCTTTCTTCCATTGAGATGGAGGAGAGAGATGGAGCTAGCGATGGAACACGCTCGCTTATTCCTTCCGGATCCAGCTCCAGATGTGATGAAGTACGCTCCATTCCGCGCCGCGACGTAGGGTTGCTCGGATCTCGTAGATCGCAGATCAGAATGTCGTGCTGCTGTGAGCTAAGAAAGAAAAAGGATGCTGTCCAAAGTGATCGTAAACTTGTATTGCCCCGTTCGAACAGGATTTCGTCTTCTTCTTCTGCTTTTGTAGATGCCGACATGGATACTTCCACGTCGTCAACAACGATTACACCGACTGGAGCCATTGGAGGTAACGCCAAAGGCAATAAATTCTTTGCGGGATTCAACGAAAACTCGAAAGAGGTTAACTCTTACAACTTTTTGTCTGTATACAAACCTCGTGTTTGCTTCTAAACAGATAACAAAGCGAGAGTGCACGGAGGAATCCATCTGGAAGAGCTGGAACTGGAGATCTGAGCCTGCAAATAGCGTGAATAAAACTGGGTTCTTGCATGGGTGGTTTTTTTCTTGATGTGTTCTTGCGTCTTTGCTCGCCAGATTGTTTGGGTGATTGCTTTCTTTATGTGTTCCTGTGTGTTCGCTCGAAGATTTCTGGTATCGTAACTGTTCCGGGGAAATGCTGTAAACAAGGAAAACTTTGGAGAAAAGAGAGAGCAGAGCACTCACCTTGTCGTGGAAGCCATGATGGCGTCGATGAGACCATCAGTGGAGCGAGCGAGCGTGCCAGATGTTGTTGGACGGACCCAAAGATCGAGTCTTACACCATGCGGCCGAATCCAATCGCGCATTCCGCCAAGCGCTTGCAGGAACCCCTTGAGCGGTTTCTTGCATGGACGGCGTGAAGAGATTCTCCAAAACGCCGCTGGAACTCGCTGGCATCCCCGAGGAGAGGTACTCTAATCCATCCGCGAATTCGAAGCTCGCAAAGATCCAGTTACCAGACCTTGCGAAGGCACGCGATGAAGATGGCGTCGTGGACGCAATCGCAGAAGTGGGGCTCCACGCCGTGCTTGCCACAGATTCGGCGGCGCTCCTTCTGGATCATGACGCCCTGCGATCTTCCATCGCACGACGAGCGTGCCGATCCAGGCGGTGTGAGCGCGCCAGGGACCATCAAGATGAAACCCTACATTTCTGTTCAAAAAATTAGGGCTTTGGCGCCAAATGGATTCTAGGTCTCGATATAAAAAATATTATAATAAAAAAACGTTTTCTTTTTACGAACGTGCGCGGGATTACAAACACGGCTTCCACACGGCAATTCCTACGGGAAACTTTCTGCGTAAACGGAGTGGAACGACTGCTGCTCGGATATAAATTCATGACGTCTCCCCAGTCAGCAGCAGGGCCCTCTTCTCTTCCGCTTCTCCGTCCTCCGGTATCTAGTGTCTCAAGCTTGTCAAAGCTGCGAATTTCACAACTGTCATCTGCAAATTCGTAGACAATCAAGATGGCTTGGAAGGTGAGCATTGCGTCTGGCTGATTTCGTTGAGCCTTGTTTGATCTCGAGCTCTGTGCTCCAGGTTGTCTTGAAAGTGGACTCTTGCAACAAATGCAAGGACAAGATGATGTCTCAGATCTATCACAGCGTCTCCGGTGAGTGTATATTTCCGCAAATTCTCCCAAATTTTGATCGCTGATCAAGAGATCTTCGTGCTCTTGCAGGTGTGAAGAAAGTGGAGGTTAAAGATCCCCTTTACACCTTCACGGGTGATTTCAAGGTGGACGACATCCTCAAGGCCACCGAGAAGAAACGCAAGTGTATTTCTGTGGAATCCGTCCATGAGATCAAGGTGGAAAAGCCCAAGCCGAAGCCAAAGGACGATTGCTGCTGCTGCTGCTCTTGCTCCTGCTGCTAGAATTCGGGACTGATTGCTGATCATACATAGGTTTTGTTGTGGATGAGATGATCGATCTCTCCTCTCTGTTTTCCTTGTAATCAAGTTCGAACGAGGGTTTAACGTAGAGCACCTGATCATTCGGTGTCTTTCACCAAATTTTTGTTGCAATAGGATTGAGATTCTAACATCCAGAGCATGCGAGTGCTACGTTGAAATGGTTCTTCCCATCTTTGGGGGAGCGGAAATGTTTAAATTTCAAGGATGTTGACACACAAAGCCTGCATAAAGGAATCAGCGGGGAATCGTAGAAGCTTCGAAAAAGTAATGCGAGTTGCCGTATGTAGCTTGCTGGGATATAATTCAAATTGCTTATATTAATCTATGATTAATCTAGAACCAGCAGTTCATCTTCCGCCCCAAGTATGTACGGCTTGCCCTCTCTGGTCTCCGTCTCTCCGACTCGGTATCTAGTGTCTCAGTTGCGATGATTTCCCAAGACAATTAAGGTGGAGGCAGCAGATCGTTGAACAGGAGCTGGGCAATATAATCCACATATCTTTCATCTGCACTCCTGGAGAGAGAGCACCACGTGTATGATGGATCCACATACGTATACAAGTCCTTGAGCACATTTCTGCCCTGCAAACAGCTGTTCCATCTCAATGCCCTAGCCTACTAGATTCACCCCACTTTTTGTCTAGATGAGCTGCTAGGCTCATTCGTCAGACCAGCAATTGGGTGTTCCTCGAGTTGGTACTACCTTATCTTTAGTTTAGTTAACCATGTAATTTCTCCAAATGTTTTATTTCGTTAAAGTGGGACTTATTCAGTAAAGTGGGACATTAATTAGCATGTGTCCACATGCCATTTCCTAGTACTTAATTAATATTTATTAATATTTCTATCAGTTTTTTAATTTATTTTTTTATATTTCACAATATTATAACACAAAATCATATGAAAAGTTTTTAATTTATAAATTATAAAGTTAAAACTTTAATTTTTTATTGTTGTTATAAAAATGGCATGTGGCCACACACCATAAGTGGGATAATGAAAAGTCCCACTTTAACGAAATAAAGCATCCAAGGAATAAATGTTAAATAGTAATATGTTATCACATTTATAGAATAATAATATGTTGTGAATATTCTCAAACTCTCCCATTTGCCTAATCAGCAACACAAAATAAATTGCTGCACATTGTGTTGCAGCAACTAGCACTATTCCATTATATCTTTTATCCACATATGATCTATTAAGAGCTAAGAAGTTTTTCAGGATACGATCAAGCAAAACTTCCAAAGGTACAACTTCTTTCTTTGTTTCATAAATGGAGAGAACGCTTCCGTGTCAGGGCTAGAGAACTCTTTCCAGTTTTCATCCATTCCCGGCCGAGGTTGCCAGACTTTCCTTCTTCTTTCTTCCATGGAGATGGAGGAGAGAGATGGAGCTCTCTCTCTCTCTCTCTCTCTCTCTCTCTCTCTCTCTCTCATGTAACCATCCTTCAAATGATATTGCACCAGCTTATTCCTTCCGAGACCTTCAAATAATTAAGAGGGATAATAATTAGTCCGCAGTCCAGTAATGCTATACAGCTGCTGATGACGACTGGCGATGATAATCACTAGTCAGCATGGAATCTGTGCCGCAGAGAAGTGCTACTGACGTAGGCCGCGGGCTTGGCGGCCAGGCTCGAGGCTTTGCCCTAGACCGACCCGGATCCAGCTCCAGATGTGATGAAGTACGCTCCATTCCGCGCCGCGACGTAGGGTTGCTCGGATCTCGTAGATCGCAGATCAGAATGTCGTGCTGCTGTGAGCTAAGAAAGAAAAAGGATGCTGTCCAAAGTGATTGTAAACTTGCATTGCCCTGTTCGAACAGGATTTCGTCTTCTTCTTCTGCTTTTGTAGATGCCGACATGGATACTTCCACGTCGTCAACAACGATTACACCGACTGGAGCCATTGGAGGTCATGCCAAAGGGATTCGACGAAAACTCGAAAGAGGTTAACTCTTACAACTTTTTGTCTGTATACAAACCTCATGTTTGCTTCTAAACAGACCTTGCGGAGGCACGCGATGACGCTGGAGATGGCGTCGTGGACGCAATCGCAGAAGTGGAGCTCCACGCCGGTGTGAGCGCGCCAGCTCTTGCACGCCAGCGAGACCATCAAGTTCAAATCTACATTTCTGTTCCAAAAATTAGGGCTTTGGCGCCAAATGGATTCTATGTCTCGATATTATAATAAAAAAAAGTTTTCTTTTTACGAACGTGCGCGGGATTCATCGTACATACAAAGACCGGCTTCCACACGGCGTAAACCGTGGAAAGCATTCCATCCGACTGCTTAAATTGATGACGTCTCCCCAGTCAGCAGCAGGGCCCTCTTCTCTTCCGCTTCTCCGTCTTCCGGTATCTAGCGTCTCAAGCTTGTCAAAGCTGCGAATTTCACAACTGTCATCTGCAAATTCGTAGACAATCAAGATGGCTTGGAAGGTGAGCATTGCGTCTGGCTGATTTCGTTGAGCCTTGTTTGATCTCGAGCTCTGTGCTGCAGGTTGTCTTGAAAGTGGACTCTTGCAACAAATGCAAGGACAAGATTATGTCTCAGATCTATCACGACGTCTCCGGTGAGTGTAGATTTCCGCAAATTCTCCCAAATTTTGATCGCTGATCAAGAGATCTTCGTGCTCTTGCAGGTGTGAAGAAAGTGGAGGTTAACGATCCCTTTTACACCTTCACGGGTGATTTCAAGGTGGACGACATCCTCAAGGCCACCGAGAAGAAACGCAAGTGTATTTCTGTGGAATCCTTCCAGGAGATCAAGGTGGAAAAGCCCAAGCCGAAGCCAAAGGACGATTGCTGCTGCTGCTGCTCTTGCTGCTGCTGCTAGAATTCGGGACTGATTGCTGATCACAAAGAGTTTTCGTTGTGGATGAGATGATCGATGTCTCCTCTCTGTTTTCCTTGTAATAAATTTCGAACGAGGGTTTAACGTAGAGCACCAGATCATTCGTTTTCTTTCATCAAAAATTTCTTGCAATAGGATTGTCCATCTAACATCCCGAGCACGCGAGTGCTACGTTGAAATGGTCGTTCCCATCGTTGCGATTAAATTTCAAGGATGTTACGCCTGCATGAAGGAATCATTCCGGGGAATCGTAAAAGCTTCATAAAAAGCAATGCAAGTTTGGCTATAGGCACTATTCAAGTCAAGTCCCTGTTTACAAGCATTGACTTTGACATGAACTTGTGAGATTGTGTCCAACGGTACTACAAGGAGTCAGAGGCAAGGTGGACGACAACTTAAAAAAATGTCATGTCAAGAATTCATAAAGTTGTTATGGAAGACCTTTCCTCACGAGACGAGCGACCAGGCTGTCAGATGGAGCTGGCCGAGAATTCATCGGCCACATTGGCTTTGTCGAGACTCTAAAAAGAAAAATAGAAAAGGGAATAAGATTAAGCTGGCAAGTGAAAAAACGTAGAACTTCTAGAAATGGTCAAGCTTCAGACCACTAGAAGAGCAGCAACAGTAGGTGCCATGTTTATCCTTGTTTGGCTCAGAAATCTCCTGATTCGAACTCCTCTTCTTCTTCTTCTTTATGATTTTTTTAAAATCGTCAGTGAATGTGTAGTGTGGATCATCCACTTCCAGAATATAAGCGTATAGTTTGAAACAGCTCTATTGTCATGAAGAGATTTCTCTTGGACGAAATTACGTACCTGAGACGTTGTAATAGATCTGAGATACAATCTTATCTTTGCATTTCGTGCAGGGTGCCTAGATCTTGGGCACAACCTTCATCAGCAATTGTGAATTGGAAGGAGACTTTCAGCGTATGCCTTCCAAGCCATGATCAAGAAAGGAATACTGGAGATACAAAGTGAAGCTAGGTTTCATGAGCTTGGGTGGCTCACACAGTAGAGGTCCCCGGTTCAATCCAAGACATTGCAAAAGAAGTAAAATCTGACGGACCCAGGGGAGCACCTCAGTGATTCTCTTTACTAATCATGAAGTGACTCAATCATTCTAGTTACCAAGTTAGTTTTTATGAAAGAATTGCTATATGCTTGTACTGATAGCAAATTTTAAAGAGTTTTCGGACCGTTGACCCATCGGCCATCGTTGACTGGTCACGGTCAATGGACATGTGGTCAATAATTTTCGTTGACTGGTCAATAGCATCAGCAATTTTATTTTACATTCCTGCGGTTTTGATGGAACATATCGCAGGGTTTTAGGTTTCTTCGATTAATTCTAATGGCGGAGTTTTCTGGCGATGGCGCGCCTCCTCCTGCACAGTGAGTTTCCTTTCTTGTCTGATGCACTCATTTTCTCGTGAGGCGCATCGCAGGAATCGCGATGTTTCATCGGTTTTCTCCGAGTTTGAGCTCAAGAGCGATGCGTTTGTGCCGAGGAGGATCAAGCAGGAATCCAGCCCCTCCAGCCTTAGGACTTACAAAAGGAGTGCTTCGAATGTCCATAGCCAGAGGGCTTCCAAGCGTGCATTTGTAAAAGTCTCTTACGAGGTTCGCATTCTTTCTTTCTCTTTCTTTCTTTTTTTCATTCCTTTCGATAGGGAAATTGTGACGATGGCAATCAAGCTATGGATTTAAAGAAGAAAGGTAGCGCTTCTATTCAATTCTATTCCATCTTTGCTTGTAGCAAAGTAATCATCTAACAGGAGAGCCTCCAAAGTGGAAAGAAGTTTTGGAAGGGATACGAAAAATGAGAGCTTCTGAGGATGCCCCAGTCGACTCCATGGGATGCGAGAAAGCTGGAATCTCTCTTCCACCAAAGGTTTTTAGTTTCTTCTTCTTCTTTCTTGGAAGAACAAAATGGATTTTCTTCGCTTTTCAGGAGCGAAGAGTTGCAGTTCTCATATCTGCGCTGCTCTCCAGCCAGACTAAGGACGAAGTAAACCATGGTGTTTATTATTTGATACTCTGATCGTTCCCTATACCCCTCGGATCTTAACTTTAAGCCTGCTCAGGTGCAATGAAGCGGCTTTCGGAGCGGCACTTGTTGTCGATGGAAGATCTCTCCAAAGCCGAAGAGTCGACAATCAGAGATGCGATCTATCCGGTGCGGAAAACTCTGACGTTCGCGACTTTTTTCTGATTCTGTGACCCGTGAAAGGTTGGCTTCTATGCGAGAAAGGCCAGTTATCTCAAGAAAGTTGCGGCACTGTGCCTGGAAAAGTACCAAGGAGACATTCCTAAAACGCTCAGTGAACTCCTCGCTCTTCCTGGAATCGGCCCAAAGATGGCTCATCTGGTAAAACAAAGTTCTTCCTTTTGTTCCTTCGGAGTTCCAAAACTTTATCTAGGTGATGAACGTCGGCTGGGAGAGCGTGCATGGCATTTGTGTCGACACTCACGTCCACCGGATCACAAACCGGCTGGAATGGGTCTCACATCCAAAATCAACATCCAAGAAACGCTTGGTACGTTGTTTCTTCCAGCAAAGTTCTCTCTAGACTGTGATCCATACTTGTTTGCTTTGAAAGGACACGAAAACTCCAGAGGAGACGCGGATCTCGCTAGAGTCGTGGCTGCCGAGGGAAGAATGGGTTCCGATCAATCCATTGCTGGTTCGATTTTGTTCCATGTTTTGTTCTGTATCAACTTTCTTCGCAGGTTGGATTTGGTCAGACCATTTGCACTCCACTTCGTCCTCGCTGTGGCGACTGCTTGATTAGTAACTTGTGCCCAGCAGCGTTGAAGCACAAGGGAAGCAAGAGCTAGAACAAGTTCTTCGCGTTATAATCAAGCAAAACTAAAACTTCCGGAGGTACTTAAAAACTTTTCTTTGTTTCATATGGAAAGAGCAAACAAACAACGCTTCCGCGCCAAGGCTGGAGAACTCTTTCCAGTGTTCTTCCATTCCCGGCCGAGGTTGCCAGACTTTCCTTCTTCTTCTTGCTTCCATGGAGATGGAAAAGAGAGATGGAGCTCCTCTCTTTCTCTCTCCCTCTCCATCGTGTAACCATCCCTCTAGCGATGGAACACCGCTTATTCCGTCTGAGACCTTCAAAAAAATCGTAGTCCGCAGTGGCTAATTAAGAGGGCGAGACCGATCGAGGAGCTATAGGAGTACTGCTGTACAGCTGCTGATGACGACTGGCGATGGCGATGATCATCCTCAAGTCAGCATGGAAATCCTATGCCGCAGAGAAGTGCTCCTGCCGAGAGAGTTAGCTCACCAACGTAGGCCGCGGGCTTGGCGGCGAGGCTCGAGGCCTTGCCGTAGACCGACCCGGATCCAGCTCCAGACGTGATGAAGTACGCTCCATTCATGAACAAGTTCCCCTCGGATCTCCAGTTCCAGCTCTTCCATATGGATTGCTCCGTGTACTCTCGCTTTGTTATCTGTTTAGAAGCAAACATGAGGTTTGTAAATACAAACAAAAGGTTGTAAAGAGTTACCTCTTTCGAGTTTTCGTTGAATCCCGCAAAGAATCTATTGCCTTCGGCGTTAATCGTGGGGTTCGCGCTGCCTCCAATGGCGTACATCCTCCACTCGGTGTAATCGTTGTTGACGACGTGGAAGTATCCGTGTCGGCATCTACAAAAGCAAAAGAAGAAAACGAAATCCAGTTTAGAAAAGCCAAACCCGTGCGCTAAGAAAGCAAAAGGATGAGGCTGACCTCGGCATTCTTTCGACTAAACCCTGTCCAAAGTGATTGTAAGCTACAGTCACTTGCATTGCCCGGTCCGCAGTGTAATCGTCGTTGTGTCCCAGGAGCATCACCTGCAAATCGACAACTCAAGCGTGAGAAAAACCAGTTACGCTACCAGAAATCTCCCAAGACACGCAATCTAGCGAGCAAACACACAAGAACACATAACGGAAACAATCACCCAAGCAATCTGGCGAGCAAAGAACGCATGAACACATCAAGAAAAAAAACATCCATGCAAGAACCCAGTCCGGGGAAATGCTGTAAACAAGGAATACTTTGGAGAAAAAAGAGAGAGCAGAGCACACACCTTGTCGTGGTCGCTGAAATGGTTGTTTGAAATGGTAATGTCCGTGGAAGCCATGATGGCGTCGATGAGACCATCAGTGCAGCGTGCGAGCGTGCAGTGATCCACCCAGATGTTGTTGGATCCAAAGATGGAAATCCCGTCCCCGTCCGACACCGTCCTCCATCCGAAGTGAGTCGTGCTGCTCCTCACCATCGCCGGTCCCCCAGGCTTGCAATCGTGGACCGCGATGCCGTGGACGATGACGTGGGACACGTACTGGATCGTGATGCAGGGGCCGTGAGCAATCTCCACGTTGGCGCCTCGCCCATCGATCGTCTTGTAGCTGTTGACGATCAACTCCTGGCTCAGCCGGATGCTCATGTCGCGCTCGAAGATGATCCACAGCGGCTCCGACTGGATGACGCCGTAGCGCAGCGTGCCGGGCTTGGGGTTCACTGGGTCGTCGTCGCTCGAGTCGGTGACGACGTAGATCTCCCCGTTCTTACCCCCAATCGCGTTGCGGCCGAATCCAATCGCGCATTCGGCCAGGCGCTTGCGGTTGTTGTGCCAGTTTGGGTCGCAGCGCCAGCAGTCGTCGATCGGATTGCCGCTGCTGCCACAGCCCAGTAGCGAGAACGCTTCCCTCCTTTGTGTGCCATTCCCTCTGAGAGAAAAAAAGCCCGGAGTGAGTCGAATTTTTTTCAAAGGACAAAGAGGACGCGCGTTCGAATCACGGCAGTAAGAGTGAGACCAGACCAGGGGTTCGAATCTCCCTGGTGGAAATCCACCAGAAGAACAACGACTACTCTGTCTCGACAATCAACACATCTCACCTAATGCTCCAGCTAACAGGAATGGGACTGGAAATCCGAAAGGAATTCCTCCAAATCTCGCCCAAGCAGGGGCATTGATCCAGACAAGAACGAGGAATCGAAGCATCCAAGAAACAAGAAACCCTGGGGAAGAAATCGGACCTGGGATTATCGATGGCTCCGCTGGCGCTGGCGCTAGCGTTGAATCCCTGGTGTCGATGATCCTTGAGCGCTCTCGAGGCGGCGGCGAGCGAGAAGAAGAGCGATGCGCAGCAGCACGCAAGAACAAGAAGCAAGACTCTGGCCGGGCGATCCATCCAAGAATCCGGCAAAGACGAGATCGAATGGGAGCTGGAGAGACGAATCGGGAGAGAAAAACCCGGTGGATCGCTGGATTTCGCGCAATGCAGGTCGAAATTTCGGCAGACGGCGCGGAGAATCTTCGTATCCTCGCCTTGTCGCCAAAGAAACAGAGGAATCAAGACCCTGCCGCTGCGAAATCCAGCCCAAGAACTCGCGGATCGCGAGAGAGGAAGGCGAGGGGGAGCGATCAATCGAATGGGAGAAAGAAAGAAAGAAAGAAGGCGAGAAAAAGAGGGAAAGGATGGGCAATTGAATGAATGAAATGGATGGATGAATGGCTCAACAAGAGAGGGGGGTTTTTATACGGCGAGGGGGGAGGCGATCGCTCGGCCAAATCGCTAAGCTAGCGGGCGATCCCCGGGCCGCCGCATTGGGACCGCTCAAAGAAAGCGTGACTTAGCTGGATCCCGGGAGCGTTTTGGTGGGGCGTTCTCTCCATCGCTCGAGTGTTTTCGGGCGGAAAGCTTCGAATTAAACTAACGGACAGCCACTGTCTGATCAACGGAAATAACAGAACAAGGTGAAACGTTGGTTGGTTGGGTTTTGGGAGGAGCGCCGATTTTTACTTTGACCGAGGGCGTGTAAGTAGTGGAGATGGTAAAAACTGCAGTCAAAAGTAAAAAGGCTTTTTTTTTTTTTCTTTGCTTCCCTGTGTTTGATGATTCATCCACACATGCATTTTCTATAATGGTCGTGGCGTGGCGGCGTGTTGGATTTTGCGGAGAGCGTGACCACTGACTGGCGTGGTAAAAGAGGAGTAAAAAGGCATGGTTTTTACCACGCCCAGTCAGCAAATCGTTGCTCTTGAGATTGAAGTTTCCAAATGAAATGGAAATGGAATCTATCTTAGATAGAGATGGAATCCACTAAGACAATGTATGTCGAAGGCGGCGATGATGCTTCCAAAGTTTGGATAATATGGCGGGCGCATCTTCAAGGAATTTCAATCCAAGCAAACCATTTTCTACTTTGGTTGATCAAGGAGCCGGGTCGTAACAATTATCAAACCTTCCAAACGAACGCCTTAGATTGCCCCAAATCCAAATAAAACATCTGGCGAGCAACGCTTGAATCGAATCCATGTTCTTTCAGTTGGCCGTTGTCGTTGTTGCAAAGCGATTAAAGAAAAGAAAAAAAATCGGTGGAAAGCTTTCCACATTTTTTTAAAGATGTAAATTGTAATCTATCCCATGAGTGGAACCCCAAAAAGACAAATCAAAGTGCCGGCCAATTGGAGAGAAGAAAGTTTCGTCCGTCGTGCACCCCACTCCCATGTCACTCCATTTCAACGCATTGGTGCCATGGGATTCAACAAGGGAATCCCAGCCGAATCTTTCGGCATCTCTCCGGAGAAACTCTGATCCCACGGCCACGTGAGAACGTGTCTCGGTATCATTTCCATGTGAAGCTTTCGAAGATAAACGAAAACATTTTCTTTCTTCCCAGACAACGAAGAAACAGGGCCGTGACGTGGCGTCGTGGGAGTGGCGGGTGGGATTGCGACGGAATAACGGTCATTGGTTCCTGCCCGCCACGTCCGTCGGCCACATGCAGCGTACGAACAAAATTTCCTTGAAGGAAATAGAGCAGTACGGAGTGATGAAGTTGCAAGTTGCACTGGATCAAAGTTCTCTTGGGTCACACTCAAAGCGAAACTGTGATCCCAAGTTGGGCGAGGAAAAAGCTCGAGTGGTCCAACCTGTCCCCCTAAGTTTGTTGATGGAACCAAACCAGAAAAATTGATGATTCAACCTTAGGATCGTCGTCTTGTTGCTTTCGAGTTCATGTGGCCATTGAATGATGGATAGTATTCATAGGAAAAGCGACATTTGCAATTTCGAAGTGTATATATAAGCGACTGAATCTGATGCCGACGGGTGAGTTAGCACAGCAAGAAACAGAAGCCCCTTCGGTTTCAGAGTTCAGATCTCGCTGCGGGGACACTTTCTGGACCTGTGGCGGCAGACGACACACACAATCCACAAATGTCTGCTGTTTAAATTCCAAATAAAAAAAAAAAAAGTTGAAAAGAAGCCCATGATTCAGGTAGAGAAAGGCTAGCTATCAGCTTACGCTACGAACTTGACGATCATTGATGCAAGTGAGTTGTGTGAGCGAGTGGAACAGTGTCTCATGTTCTCCCCACCGCCCACCATGTTCTTCCCGAAATAATTTAAAGAGCTTTCCCAGACTTCTCAAACTCCCACAAGGAGGAAGAGAAAAGTTTTGGGGAAGATGATCGAAGCACCAACCATTACGCACGGTACGCCACTACCACCGCTGCCGTCACCTTCACCGTCACCTTCACCAATTGGAGGCGCTTGACAAAACAGGGAGGAAGCAAGTCGTGCTGCTGGAAGGTCTGAACTTTGAACCAAACTACCGACCGACCAGCGACCAGCGCCTTCTTGAAAATGACACCACTGCCACTCCCTCAAATGTCTCGATTCCAATGAATGCACGAAGAAGCTCTTCTAGCTCCTAGAGATTCTGCTCGCAACACATGGTGGCCCTGGAACCTAGCAACTATAGTTTTCCTTCTTTTTAGTTTTATAATTGGATAGATCTGCTAACTTCTGATCTTCACATGCTCTCCCACTCCAACTGCTTCTCTGCTGTTGAATGAACCCAACATTGTAGCAGAGCCAGACTTTACATCTTTTTGGGACACTGTCGAGCTCCATTGCCAAAGTTTTATGCGAGCACGCCAAAGCGATTGTATCCAAGGGGGTTTAAGTGGACTGACAGAAATGTTCTACGTATGTGTGTACAAGCTGCCGCCACTGTAACCCAGACCACCAGCAGAATTGGTGTGGTGGCTGCTTTCTTGTAGGCTTAACTTACCTTGACAGATTGAATGCAAGGTATCGAAATATCGTTCAAAGCAGATAAAACAGCAAATCGAACTTGCATGTCTGCCATCCCATTCGTTCGTTCAGAGCTATGAGAACTCACCGAACGGAAAAATATTTGTTATTCAGCACAGAAACGCTCTCAAGTTGACAACCATTTCTCAGTGCCATTTCTTATAATTCCAATGGGAAGTATATTCTGTTTCTTTTGTCTGAATGAGCATTTAATCCATTCTTAAGAAATTTATTTGCTGGAACTAAGTTATTAGTCTATAGTTGTGTCATTTGGCACAACTAATTTAAAAAGTTTACATTCACAACCAAAATCACATGTTCTTTTCTAAAGAAAAAAAATTATATAAAAAGAAAATGAGATTACACGTAAATTTTGCATAAAACCAGATATAATTTTCTAAGAAATTTACAAAAACAATTAGTAGTAATATAATGGATTTAATTTTTTTTAGTAAGCTTATAGTTCTATTGAAAATATATTAGATATTACAATTTATATTAAATTATATACATATATATATATATATATATATATATATATATATATATATATATATATATATATATATATATATATATATATATATATATATATATATATATGTATGTATGTATATATGTATATATATATATATGTATGTATATATGTATATATGTATGTATATATGTATATATATATGTATGTGTATATATATATATATTCCATGTCCTATATGCCTACTAGAACAGGAGAATCATGGTAAGCATAGAGAAAACGTGGAATAAAAACATAAGACACTATTAGCTGTAAAGGATCATTAGGATCAGTCCTCACAAAATAAAGAAAGCCATTGTCCTCAAAGTGATATTAAAAATATAAATGCTGGAATGGTAAATCATTAGTAAGTGATGCAAGATTCTCAAACCTATCTTGAACCCTTTGAATCCATGGCTTATTCTTTTAAGCTTCATAAACCTCATCAAGAGAAGGTAGATCTTGCTCTGCGCCTTGTGGACACTGAACGTCAAGTATAGCAACTGCCAACGGCATATAATCCTCATCTAGAAAATCCATAAATGTTGGAACAACAGGCTCATTAGAAACATGAAAAGAGAGTAGAGAAGGAATAGGAGCTCGCGAAAGGGCATCAGCATCAGCCATAAAACTCCCTGAGCGATGAACAACATCAAAATCATATATCTGAAGCTTCAAAGTCCACCAAGTAATACGACGAACCAGGTTCTTTCACTTTAATAATGAAGTAATGGCAACATGATCACCTTCAAGTAACGTCCGAGAACCATGTAGATATGTATGAAGTTTTTTGAAACCCCAGACTACTACTAAACACTCCTTTGTCGTGGAATAATTCATCTATGCTAGTTGTAATATTATACAAATTGGAATGGCACTGACCAAGCATACTTGGGCTTTCTTACATCAACACATCTCTAAGACCAATACCAAAAGCATCCATGCGCAATATAAAAGGTCAAATATAGTCAAGATATGCTAAAACTGGAGGAGTTGTCAAGAGCTCTTTGAGATCCATGAACGCCCACTCACAATCCGGAGACTAGATGAAAGATGATGTTGATGACTTCAGCAATGCTTGCAACGATGCAATATGATCAGAAAGATGATCCACAAATGACCGAGATACTACACCTTGCCCAAGAAGTGTTGCACATCATTCACACACTTCGGAGTAGAGAACTGTAGAATAGCCACAAGTTTGTCAATATTAACTTGCAAACCCTCATAAGAAATATGGTACCTAAGATAAGTTGTGTTCTTGGACCCAAACATGTACTTTGACCACTTCAATTTTAAACTAACATCTCATAGCTGATCCAACACTTTATAAACATCACAAACGTGCTTTTCCCATGTCCCCTCTAAGTGAATCAAGACATCATCAATAAAGCCAACAGTCACTTTTGGCATATCGCAAACAACTTTGTCCATCATCTATTGGAAAGTTGTTGGAGCATTGTTCAAATAAAACAGCATCACCAAAAACTCATACAAACCAAATGGTATATGAAAAATAATTTTAGGAATATCTTCTTTGGCCATTGGTACTTGCCAGTACCCAGAAGTAAGATTGAGCTTGGTGAACCAACAACGTCGCCTTAGACGATCCAAGAGATTAGTAGTATGAGGAAGAGGGTACACATTCAGGATTGTCACTTCGTTTATGGACGATAGTCGATGCAGAAATGAATATTCCCATCAAGCTTTGTTACAAAATGAGGTTCACATACCCAAGGACTCCGCAACTTCCTAATAACACCCTTCTCCAACATTTCCTTGATGTTTGCACGTAAAATCTTGATCTCTTTGGGTGACCAACAATGAATAAGAACTTTGATTGGACAAGCATCCTTGGTTAGAATCAGATAATGTGTGGTAATCTTGGCCCTAGATGATAAGTCAAATTCAAAGAGATCAAAATACT